ACAGGGCTGTAAGGAGCAGCCCTGACCGCACCCTCCTCCCCAGGGTGGCTTCTCGGGACCCATCCTAGGTGAACTTTCCGTTTTTGTATATATAGATGTTTTTATTGATTTCAGAGCGGAAGGGAGAGAGAAACATCCATGATGAGAGAATCATGGATCAGCTGCCTCCCGCACGCCTCCTAGTGGGAATTGAACCTACCACCTGGGCATGTGCCCTGACCGGGAATCGAACCCGTGACCTCCTGGTTCATAGGTCGATGCTCAACCACTGAGCCACGCCGGCCGGGCCACTTAGTCATTTTTGTTCTAAGGGCTCCATTACTGAAGTGAGCCCAGAAACGGGTGCTCTGCCATTTAGTGTAAAATCCCCCCGTGCAGGACTGGGGTTCACCGGTTGTTCCCGGGGGGTACCCCCCGCCAGGTTATTTCAGTCAAGGCCCAGGCTTGGAATCTTCTTGATTCTCCCTGGAACTAGGACCCTGTACGCGAGGCTGCCATGTGTCTCCAAGTTGTTCTGGCAGAAGAACAGCCCGTCTTGGGCTAGAACAAGGGGGTCTGCTCTTAGGCGGTTGGACAGTGGGCACTGTCTTCTAGCACTGGGGTCGGGAAGGAGATCAGTGCGTGTTTTTATAAAGTCCTGTGTCTGCTCACGCCCAGGAGTTTTGAATCGGAACCCAGTTATGTTTCAGAGTTTCTGTGGGATTTTTGTCTCGTGCCAAATGTTTTTCATGCCCTGGGACCCAGTGAATGTGGCAGCCCCGGGTGCCAATTTTCTGAAATAATCCTCTTCAGGCCTCCCACGCGGTAGAGTTTTTAGAATCTGAGCAACATGCAATTTGAATGAAAAAGAAGCGTGGGGGGAGGTTTTCTCTGGAAGCTCCGGGAGGCTGGGTGCCTGCAGGGGAGGTGACAGTGATGCATGCACAGGTGGGAGGGACTCTGCTGTGCCCAGGGGAACCCTGGCTCCTGGGGGCCGGGAGGGCCAGGCTCGTGCCCAGACTTGGACCCCTAACAGGCTCTGCTTCCTTTGGGCTTCAGTGAACCTAGACGTTCATGGATGAGGCCATGGTTTCTCTCGCCAGGGGCGGCTGGTCATTTTCCCGGTTATCTTTTCTCACTCAAATGTCACCCTCTCAGTGAGCCTGTCTTGGCCACCGTATATAAGATGCCACCCCTTTCCCTTCCCAGCCCCCTCCCTCTGCCAGTTCCCTCCCTGCTCTGTATCTGTTACCTCCCAATATGTTGGGATTTATTCTCCACCATCTATGCATTAGAGGGTCAAAGGTTTTGCTCTCTTTTTTAAAAATATATTTTTATTGATTTCAGAGAGGAAGGGAGAGGGAGAGAGAGAGATAGAAACATAATGATGAGACAGAATCATTGATTGGCTGCCTCCTGCACGCCCCACACTGGAGATCAAGCCCACAACCTGGGCATGTGCCCTGACCAGGAATCGAACCCGTGACCTCCTGGTTTATAGGTCGATGCTCAACCACTGAGCCACGCCGACTGGGCTAATGATGTTTAATTACATTTCACATTACTTGTTTCATCTCATTTTCTTCCGCCTGTCAACATCTGTCTGAATACTGTTTTTAGTTTTTATAATATAAAATTTTATTATGCTCACTTTAAAGGTGAGAAGTCCGGCCCATTTAGCGAGTAAGAAGGTACAGCATGAGGTTGAATTGCACAGCTTTGAATGTGATGCTCTTCCTGCTGCTCATGGCTGACTTGGTCAGTGATGAGCTCCCTGTTCGCAGACCCTGGTGTGAATCCTGGTTCTGTCAAAACTTAGCAGCACGACCGAGGACATTTTAATAAAGTCCAATAGGTGAGCGCACTTCTCTTATGCACAGAACCCAGCATCACTTCCTGCTCTCACGCTGAATGTTCAGTACACCTTTACACTTACAAGTGTGTGTCTGATCCTTTTTTTTTTTTAATTTGGTGTCCTTGATGGGTTTGTGCCATCTGCAGATTTGATTATCACGCCATTGATCCAACTGATTAATGAAAAGGTTGAGCAGAGCTCCGTGGAAGCTGGAGGCTGATGCTGGGATTGAGACAGATGAGCGAGATTGTGACGTGGAGACACCGATGGCCTTCATTTTAAAAAGTCAGGATTCCGCTTCAGATGGGATGTGTGTTGACGTGTTTGGGGAGAGATGCATCCACAAAGGGGAGTCCAGAGGGCCAGGAGCAAACGTCTAAATGTGGGGGTTGTTTGTACTCACGGGCCCAGGGCCCAGCAGGAGCGCAGGCAAGGCCATTGTGTTGGGTGATTAGAAGTGTGACCTTCACGGTTGGGGTTAAGAAGTCCAGGGCTCCGGGAAGACAGGGAGGCAGTGGATATAGGCAGAGAGATCATTGCAGGGCGCACAGCTGCGGACTTCCACCCTTGTGATGAGAGAATGGCAGCCTCGGGCCAGAGCAGAGAGAGAGTCCTATACCTCAGGTTTGGGACGGACCCATTGTGGGCTTGAGGCACGGGGACCCTGGACGGTAGTTAAGTTTCGTGCCTGGAGGGTGTCTTGGTTGGTTGGGAGGGCTGTAACCTAATTCCCCCTCCTGGCTTGGGGACTTGGGACTGGGGACTGCACTAGGAACTGTCCTCTAAACCCCTCCTTTTTGGGAAAAAAAATTCCTGAATCCCAAAGACACAAATAGCTGGTATACCAGATGCACCTCGTTTCTCACAGCCTCCGGCGTGCAACACAGACGTCGGGAGGGAGTTCACGAGACACAATCAGCTCGCGTGTCTCGTTAACTCCCCGAGTGCTTCCAAGTTTAATTTATTTTAGGGAGAGTGACAGTTGTAATTATGTTGTCAAGCCTTTGTCATTCTCACGGAAGTGACAACGTGGAAACCCAGATGGAAAGCCCCGCCCTGGCTTTGCCACGGGCCGGGCCTGGACCAGAGCCTCCGGCAGCGAACTGCGTCTTGGGAGCCTGTCTTGTCGCCATGGCGCCCC